TGTGTGTGTGTGTGTGTGTGTGTGTGTGTGTGTGTGTGTGTGTGTGTGTGTGTGTGTGTGTGTGTAAATGAGAAAATGAGACACTTACATGAGTTTAAAAGAACGGTAATTCAAGACGTCTTCATAATTCAGAACCAACCTGTATTTCAAGAGAAAACTGTGGTTATGAACTACCAACATATACATTTATACATACATTATACTTTATAGTGTTAATTGCATAACACTTTAATTGTCTACTACACTGTTGTCATGTCATGCTGCCTACTGAACGCATCAAAGCGAAAGTTCCAATCCATTTTTCCTGTTGTCATAGGTATTGCAATTCCATGGAGTATGTGAGAAATAGAAAGGGGCACTGATTCAATGTCGGAGCATCATTGCATCACGCATCTAGTGTAAACAGTCTGGTCCAGCGCAGACACAGTGTAACCCCTGCTGTCTCAAAAATTGACCCCTATACCCTCATTTACTATTCCCTACATTATTCCACTAATATAGTCTACTAAATGAGTAAATGAAAACAAGTGAATCTGAACAAGCTTCTGACAAGAAGAGGGAATGGACTACTTGCACAACTACTTGCACTAAACTAGCGAGCCGTACGACAGAATATTACTGTTTTTGCATATGCACAAGTGCACTTGTGTCCACTAGAGACAGGACGCTCACAGCAAGCAGCTGTGCGTAACTTGCGGTTTAATGCACTTGAATCTCCAAATTTACAATTGCATCTGATACAAAATAAATGTAAACACAGTAATGTATGTCTTAAGGACAGGACGAAACATCTGATACATGCAAATAGATCATTGCATTAATGTGAATGCATTCAATTATGTTAAGAATTATTTTTGCCAGAATCTGAATCAGATCATGAGGTGCCTAAAGATTCACACCCCTATCAAACAGTGTACTATATACAAGAGTACTGTGAATGGTCCAAACCTTGAAGGCCAACTCCCACAGTGCAAATAAGAATGCGATTGGTCAGATTTACATGTCAATAGCTATTTAGTATGGTGGGGCACTGTTACTATTTTCACATGGTTAGCAATCATCATAAAAGCAGTAATTTCATTTAATTCTCAAAAAGGGGTGGAAAATTGTCAACACTAATGATAATGAGATAATGATTATCCTGAAACTAACATTAGAAGTGGATATCAGGGGAAAAATCAAATACCGTAGAAAATAGTCCCTTTAACTTAAACCTCACATGAAGTTGAGCACTATTTACCGGGAGTGCGTCTCATTGCAGGATGATCCAGACAGGTTGGGTTCCACACCTTCACCGAAGGTTTTGGGGGCAAGGTCATGCCTCTCCCACTTTCCTGAGCGATACTGGCTGACCACCAGCTTCTCCGCCCACAAGAGGATGCAGGTGGAGCCCTTCTCCTTAAACTCCAAAGGCGGGTTCGTAGCGGTAGGCTCCTCACGACGTGACTGCAATAGGGATCGTGACCAGACAGACTGCACAGCTGGAGACACCTCCTCTATCACCTGAGACAAACACAAGCCACCTTCAATTTACTGTGCTCACATTAAACATTAAAAAATTCAACAGTTGTGCAGTCACAGGTATTGTACGCATGCAGTCCTCCAGAAAAGCACTCCCTGCCTCTCAGATGCAGAGTCTCAGTGCACATCACGAGCACCTGTGAAAACTATTTTGGTAGTTGACAAATTAATCTCTTTTGAATTCAAATCTGTCCATTTTATGTGGGCAAATTTTCAAATGTGACTCATTGAACTTGATATTACAGTGGGAAACTTTTCCTTTTAAATGATTAGTTTTACTCTTTCGTTTTCAAGCGCTACTTAATGTGTTACGTGCTAAGCTTTAGAGTTTTTGTTAGCGTTCCATTAAGTCATTTAATTTATTTCAAAAAAATAAAAAAAAAATCAACTGAGACAAAGTAACTCACATGAAAAGTATTTAACTAAAGTAAGGCATTTATTATTAGCATATAAACAATTTTCAGTTGAATTTCCAATAATAATAAAATGACTGCCGTGTATACCAGTACAGTAATCTAAAATTACTCATATTCTAAAATAAGATTTTGGTCACACTACCTGAAGGTGTGTACGTGCATACAGGATAGTTGCAGAGAAGTCTTACCCTTGAGGGCCAAAGTGCAGTAAATACTGCGGTATACGGCACAGACTGAGCTTTCATGATGCTCAGCACCTGACCAATCACCTCATCTACAGCAAACAACATAATGCCATTCATTTGCAGGAAAACACCTCATTGTATTAGTATCTTAGCTTGTTTTACAATAATAATAATTGTTAGAGCACAACGCTTTTGAAATAGGACACGTACCGTTTCCACTGAGCACTTCTTTAGTAGACATCATATCACTGCAAGAAAAAGACAGCTTACAGTCCTCATAAGATCAAGAGTTCCTTTTAAGGTTTTAAAAAAAGTCTGTTCTTGGATTTTTCTCATTTTTCAGCTCTGCCTCTCTCATCCTCTTTACTATATGGATTTCATAAGACACTTTATGCTTATTAATAGTTCATAATAGTTCTTTCATAAGACACTTTCACTCACTATATCCAAGGTAATTAAGGTAACATACACTGGCTACAATTAATGGTTTTATTATTATTTAGTATTAATTATTATTTCATGCATTTAACCTCATGTCAGTGCTGTAATAAATCCTTTCTGTTACAAAGTATGTGCATATCCTATTGCCTTAAAATATAGTGAGATCCCATAAATGTCCCACAGAGTTTGATATGTGCTTATTTCCATCATTAGTTGCAGAAGGTGTTAATAGAAGAGAAATCTATTTATATCTTCTTCATGCATTTCAGCATTGACAGCATAAACCACTTTAGTGACACTACCCTGCACTGGCAAAAGACTTTGTAAATAAACTTAATGTAAAAATAAATAAATAAATAAAACAAAAAAATTTTTTTAGATGATAACTGGAAGGCACTCACTGAATTGCATTAATGTAAAACTCACCAGGAATGCTAGCAGTAATTCATTTAGAAATGTGCATCCATTTGTGATATTGTGATAATTATACTATCTCTCTTGCTGTCTGTCTCTCTGCGCTGTCTGTCTCTCTGGCCTCATTTACACCTAGTATTAATGTGCTCTGTAACAAGTGGACAACAGAAACCTTATATGCTTAGAATTTTTTTCCACGCTTTATTTTCTTTCTTTTGTTTTCATTTATTTTTGTCTTTTATATTGATGATAAGTATGCAGTCACGAATATATATATATATATATATATGTGTGTGTGTGTGTGTGTCCTGCACTAATATCTCCACCCTGGGGTTCAATTCCTATAGTCATTCAATACTGTGGGAAAGACAAAACAGTAATGATGTGCCACAAAAAGCAGTTGAGCTGCACAAATAATTCCCCATTGGCACACTAAAGCAAACAATATAAATCTGTTTGTTATGAATATAGTGCATACTTTATCCTGCAGGAAGAGCAGCAGGTTATGCGGCGCGGTGCTCAGCGCTGTGTTCAGGTGTGACTCCAGCTCCTCCACAGACACAGTGTGACCCGCTGATGGAGCATTCACAGGAGACAAGGCAAACCTACACACAACACATTAGAAGAGCACAGGGCTAGAAAAACACATATCATGACTCTAAGACAAACCCACACAATGACCATCAGGAGTATAACTCTGACAAACACAAAACCCGGATCAAAGCAGATTCTAGTAAACATCTTGACGGCCAAAGTGCTGCCTTGACAGTTCACTAGCTTTCGAGATCAACACTCCTATCTGGAGTAAACACACTGAAGCTTGTAGATGCATAGAGAGTTAGATTCCTAAACATGTGCGGTTTATCAGAGAATGTAAATGTTTAAAGCTCATATTGAAGTGTTTCCACGGGTTTTCAGTACTGGACAGCGACCGTCTCATTCAGCTAGCAAACCGCCAAAGCTAACTCTCGCCATCACATCTCCATGACTACACTCATATACTACCAGTCTTTACCCATCACTCGCCCAGGCGACCAGAGGGACTTGCTCATCGCTTTTCGCTGTCGCGATCGCACACAGAAAACAAAACAAAATCATCCCGGTGTACCCGGAGACCGTCCTCAGAGCAGCCATCTTCGGCGCAGATGAGTCGTGACGTCATAACCGGCCATCTTCGGCGTGATGAATCAATGACGTATGAAGCTGTAAAGCTATTTGCTTTGTTCTTGTTCTATAATGTCTTTATCAATAGGTTTACTGAGAAAAGTTTATTTTCATTCCCTAAACAGATTAAAACTGATTTTCTTTTCTTTCAGCAATCACATTCTGTAACTGCTTACTATGTGAAATTCTACAGGTCACGGTGGAAAAATAACTGGTGTAGGCTACTCATAGCTCTGACAGGCTTGCAGGGGGCTACAGTGAAGAACACCTGTTTCGGAAGAGTTTTCAGACACTTTCTGTGTTAACTTGCTTCTGTCTTCACATGCTATTTATTTTTGGATACAACATTAATATAAGCTTTTCAAATCTTTAGAGGATGAAATTTAATCTTTCTATGGTGTCTCCTGATAGGATCTTACCTGAGGAAAGAATACAACTCTAGTGTCTTTATAAAAGTGTATTTCCATTTTTTTTTATTACTTGGAATAATTGTAATATTGATAGGAATAAATCAATATTATTCTCAGAGTTGGTTTGATCAAAAATATTCTGTTAGTCAGTCAATTATTTAATTCTGAATGTATTATTCTCATAACAAATGCTTGGATCATTTTCAGTTTCCCATGTCTCCAAAATAATTTTCCATACTGTTGTTGTTGCTTAATTTTTATTACCGATTTCGCTTAATTTGTTTGACTGGCAAACTGAGTTTTGCTTCACAGATCCAAATATTAATATCTTGGACCTCTTTTTGTTTTATGAAAGAACTTGAGCATTACCTTAGATTACATTTATTAAACTGTCTATGAACAAATAAGCTTTAAACACCATCCGTTTGTAACTCTTTCCTTGTTTTTAGTTAAGTTCTGTTTATATAAGTTAATTCCTTCAGCTCCACCCTTCACTTTCTGTCTTCGGTTTTATTTTGCTTCTTGTTGCTGCCATTTGTTACTGTGCTGTTTTCAAAATTAATTTTAATAAAAGTGACATTTATGGATTTTATCCTTCTCTCCGTTTAAGTTCCATGTTCTGCACACTTGCATGTTTTTAGCAGCTGGTTGGCGGATGATTTGGCAGATTTAGAAACTATACGCTATTGGTCTTGTAATGACATGAAGTATAACATTAAGAAAAAATGCAGTGTGACAAAATAGCACTGCAGCTTTGGCTTAATGAACTTACAAAAACACTCCATTTAGAACATACAGTATATGGTTCCATTTACAGAACGAGACATCAGTTTGCTGAGACATGGAAACCATTCATAAGGTACCTGGAGGCAGAAGAGACATGAGTCTGACTCAAACTGAATGAGATCCAAGGACCATTTCACCAATAACTGATTTAGTTTGAGCCGTTTTCCCCATGCGGCGCGTATCAAGCAGACGGAGAGAGGTGGGTGGGTAGTTGCTCTGTATTATTTACAATATTCGGTATCTTTGAATATAGGTTCACATGTATATATGTATTTTTAGGTGATAGGTGCTGGTACAGTTAGATAAAGAAAATTGGTAACACTTTGTATTTTAGGGTCTCTTAACTAGTTGCTTATTAGCATGCATATTACCAGATTAGTAGCCATTTATTAGTACTAATTAAGGACATATTAATGCCTTATTCTACATCCCTAATCCTACCCAATACCTAAACTTAACAACTACCTTACCAACTATTAATAAGCAGCAAATTAGGAGTTTATTGAGGGAAAAGTCGTAGTTAATAGTGAATAAGCGTTCCCTATTCTAAAGCGTTACCAGAGAATTGTATGTATAGATGCCCATATGTTTATATAAGATTATACTGAATATGTATATATATTAAATCTGTTGTTCAAAATGAAAAATACTTTTAAAAAAGTTGCTAAGCTGTCATTTATAAAAACATATTTGATATAATCCGTTAAAAGGCATTTTCATACAACGACTAAATGTTAAATAGAAAGTGATGAAAATGTGAACGGGCATATGAACGATTTAAATAAAAAAAAATCTCTCTCCTCACTATTGCTGAACTGAACTTCCAGTCACTGGATTTCAAAGTATATTGTGAATATTGCAAATATGGTGAAAATGTGAATCAAATGCTTATTTGACTTGTATTCAGATTACTGTTCAGGACAGTGTTATTATTATGTCTTTCATTATTGGAGAAATATATACAATAGGCTACAGATATTCTTGACCGAAATCAAAAGATCCTCCGTGTCTTCTTTAAAGAACAGATCAAATGTCTTTCACGCCATCATGTTGATGATATTGTTTAAAGATCACAGTACATCAGTACATTTGTACATATTCTGTCCGTTTCATCAGTTGACGTGGCAAATAAGAATAATTATATGTGGGATAGGCACAAATGCCTATAGGCCCATCCAGAAATAATTGAGTACAGCTTCTGTGTTTACAGTATTTCTGTATTAAGTATTCTGTGTTTACAGTAAAATACTGCATCAAATATAAAACTCTAACAATTCGTATCTGCCATTTAAAATGTCTCAATCTGTAATTGAAAAAAAATACTTCAACAGTCCAACATTAAATCAAGAATTTGGCTTTGTTGTCATGATAATCCAGCTTTGACAACTGTGCATACAAATTTAACATGTTAAATGTTTAGGAAATTTAATACAAAGAAGAAAAAAAAAGAGAGCGACTCAAACTGAATGAGATCCAAGGACCATTTCACCAATAACTGATTTAGTTTGAGCCGTTTTCCCCATGCGGCGCGTATCAAGCAGACGGAGAGAGGTGGGTGGGTAGTTGCTCTGTATTATTTACAATATTCGGTATCTTTGAATATAGGTTCACATGTATATATGTATTTTTAGGTGATAGGTGCTGGTACAGTTAGATAAAGAAAATTGGTAACACTTTGTATTTTAGGGTCTCTTAACTAGTTGCTTATTAGCATGCATATTACCAGATTAGTAGCCATTTATTAGTACTAATTAAGCACATATTAATGCCTTATTCTACATCCCTAATCCTACCCAATACCTAAACTTAACAACTACCTTACCAACTATTAATAAGCAGCAAATTAGGAGTTTATTGAGGGAAAAGTCGTAGTTAATAGTGAATAAGCGTTCCCTATTCTAAAGCGTTACCAGAGAATTGTATGTATAGATGCCCATATGTTTATATAAGATTATACTGAATATGTATATATATTAAATCTGTTGTTCAAAATGAAAAATACTTTTAAAAAAGTTGCTAAGCTGTCATTTATAAAAACATATTTGATATAATCCGTTAAAAGGCATTTTCATACAACGACTAAATGTTAAATAGAAAGTGATGAAAATGTGAACGGGCATATGAACGATTTAAATAAAAAAAAATCTCTCTCCTCACTATTGCTGAACTGAACTTCCAGTCACTGGATTTCAAAGTATATTGTGAATATTGCAAATATGGTGAAAATGTGAATCAAATGCTTATTTGACTTGTATTCAGATTACTGTTCAGGACAGTGTTATTATTATGTCTTTCATTATTGGAGAAATATATACAATAGGCTACAGATATTCTTGACCGAAATCAAAAGATCCTCCGTGTCTTCTTTAAAGAACAGATCAAATGTCTTTCACGCCATCATGTTGATGATATTGTTTAAAGATCACAGTACATCAGTACATTTGTACATATTCTGTCCGTTTCATCAGTTGACGTGGCAAATAAGAATAATTATATGTGGGATAGGCACAAATGCCTATAGGCCCATCCAGAAATAATTGAGTACAGCTTCTGTGTTTACAGTATTTCTGTATTAAGTATTCTGTGTTTACAGTAAAATACTGCATCAAATATAAAACTCTAACAATTCGTATCTGCCATTTAAAATGTCTCAATCTGTAATTGAAAAAAAATACTTCAACAGTCCAACATTAAATCAAGAATTTGGCTTTGTTGTCATGATAATCCAGCTTTGACAACTGTACATACAAATTTAACATGTTAAATGTTTAGGAAATTTAATACAAAGAAGAAAAAAAAAGAGAGCGACTCACTGGCATGCTAGGATGTAAAAGAGTTACTTCATCATTCTTAATACTAATGCTTTTTTGATGGGTCAAGTATTTTGTACAATTAAAAAAAGAAAAGAAAAAAACCTGTGGGAGAATGAAGGCGTGCTCCACAGTCTACAAGGCATTTCCAGTCACTGACTTGCACACAAGATATCTCCTGAGGTCCTGCACACAGCTCAAAATGCATTTACTTTCTCTGTAGGTGTAACCCATTCACAACAACAAAAGATGTTTTCCTTTAGCCCATGTCTGACTGTCCACACACAAACCAACTGACACCCACAGATATCATTTTAAGGATGCCGTAGACCTCTTTGGGTGTAGTCATCTGTATGATTGTTTCTCCTCGGTGTCTACGCTGAGTTGTAAGGCCCGGGTTAGCTAATGGGTAATGTCCTGAATAGCCCTTTATCCTGTAATACGTCCCTCCATGGGTCACGAGTGTTTCCGTATCCTGTGATGAAGCGCCTCCGCCTGGGCTTTCAAACTGAGCAACTCCCCTTGAATAAAGTCTGTCAGTGTTTTCCGCATTTCCATCTGTAGAGAAAAATAATGTCGTACTCTGTACTGTAAGACTACTACTACTCGAAGAAGACTACTATTATTATTATTATCTTTGTAAACACTCAAGACATCACATCTCGTGCCGACATGACCACCTACCGGACCGGTGTTGTCAGCTCTCAGGGCATTTACCAGATGTCTGACTGTGAACGGCTTTCCAACTACAACAGTTACTCGCTGCACAAAATAAAAGTCCACTCAGACTCAAAACAGTTCTGTAGGTGTGTCATTGACAAATATCAGGTATGACACATCACACAAGCGAAATATGTATTGACCTGTCCTACTCGAGGGATGTATGGTGTTTGATTCGGTAAAACATTATTCATACCTGAAACAATATGGTACATAAGCAAGTGCTCAAATATGAATTCATGAAGTTATGTGCTATACGGTAACAGCTTATGTCATGTGAACGTGCATAACTTACCTACATGCCACATGGGTAAAATGATTGGGTGAAGAGTGCACTCCGCAATCAAACGCCCGATTCCTGTCAAGGAATAGAAGGATTTACTTGCAGGGTAAAACAAATTATATCCTATTATTGGAGCACAACTCTTACCCCATTTTATCCTCATGAACTCTCCAGTCATGTTAACTTTACCTGGGAGGAGAAATGTAACATATTTCCTTTAACTTGTACCACAAACAAATGTTAAAAATATGAGTGTCCTCTGCTGTCTGTACCCTCTGGAAATATGTGAACCCACTCCCCTTGATTCAGCCTTTCCACGAGGAAATCCATTCCTTTCTGATATACACCATCTCCTAAAAACACAGGACAGTTTAATGCATTCAATAAATGCCCCTTTAAAACACACACACATACATATATATATATATATATATATATGTGACCCTGCAGCACAAAGTAAGTCTTAATGAACTGTACCAGCACATCAGTGAGCAGCAGACAGCCCACCCTGATGCTTTTCTCATCTTGGCTGGGGATTTCAACCACGCAGACTTAAAGAGTGTGTTCCCAAAAATACACCAACACATTAATTGATCAACTATAATGGTCATATATATATATATATATATATATATATAAAACTTAAAAAAAATAAATAAATACATTTTTAAAAACCTTATCAAATTCAGTTTGATTTAGTTTAATTTAGTCTAATCATAAACAAAAACAGACTGAGGAAATGGGGAAAAAAGCGTGGCATTAGATGAGTTCACCTCTAACAACAGGCACACATTTCCCTCTGCTGAAGAAGCTGGAGTGCAGTTCTCTTGTGAAACAGATGTCAGAGGCAGCAGGTGTCCTGAGCACACACAGACAACACATATATGATACGATATAAAGCGACGAAACACTTTTACACGAGTCTCCAGATTCTGCTTTCATTCACTCACCATCTCATCCTGTTAAAGCTCCACAGATGCCGGAGCTTCAGGACTCCTGTTATCAGAATGTGCACAAACACTTGAAATGCATTTACATTATCTACTGCCAAATCTACTCTAAAATGTGTTACCTCAGTTATATCAAATGTGCATTTTTTTGTTGGAGCCATGATTTTATAACTCAAACTGAGGCTCTGCCTACCCCAGATGTGTGGATCATCCATACAGGACTGGTGATTGCACACTGTGATAAGAGGCGTGTCCCGAGGACGCTCATCAACCAGGTCCAACAAAACATCCTGGTTGTGCACCACCAAAGAGTTAAAATAATCTGCAGAATCAGATCAATTAGGTATAGGTTACAGCTTTCATAGTTCATAGTACACATTACAAGAGTACCCTACTAATCCAGGGACAACCATTTAAAATAATAATAATTTAGAAATAATATTATAATGTTGTGTAATCTATAATATTATAGACACAGCATAATTGTATTAGAGTCTTACACGCATACAGTGAATCTGAGGCATGCATTAATTTGAGTGTCTGGCAGCTATTATGGGAGTGGCTTGATGGAGCGAAGGAGATGCAGATACTAAAGAAACTTTAATTAATGCGGTCACATAACAAATCTGCTTCAAATATACAATTACATGAATCTCTAATTACAACATTTAAATAAAAATGTAAAGCCTGTACAAGAAATTATGAATATAAATAATTGGGAATCATGTAAATAAAATAAAATAAAAACAGTGCCCATTTCATTTATCTATTATAACAAATATGTAGTTTTGTTCGCTTGGCTGCTTCCTTATAAAGGTCCAGTAATTTGTCAAGTTTCATCAGGTGTCTTTTTTAATTATATGATGTCATGACATAGCTGTCTTGCCGCCAGCCAATCGCTGCATTGCTGATCGTGGTTTCGAGTATCGATACATCTGCCCTTTACGGGGAACACGAGAACGCGCAGTAATCTTAGACAACTTAATCCAGATATGTTAATCAAATCCGCAAATTCGTTTGAAGAAGCAAATTAGCCAGAGATCGATCAGTTATCAGGATTAGAAGATCTGGCAGCTTTCAGATCATCTCAGATGTGTTAAGCGAGGTACGAAGAACGGGCCCCATTTGTGCTATGGATTTGTTTGGAAATATTTTTGTGTCGAATGTAATTCAGTTAACATTAACTTCTTGTTTGTTGAACATTTGTATAAAATCAATATCATGGTGAATAATTTGTAATATATAATTATTCACGGTATTTAGAAGTGCCCACGATAACAATATCGTGCATATTCATTACCGTGATATATCGCATTACCGAATACAGGCACAAGTCTATTTGCAATCATGCTCATATTTATGAAAACAGCTCTCTTGCTCTTGTGATAGGCCAATTGCTTAATTATCTGTTATAATACTGTACTGTATAGATCTCATACAAGCACTTTTTGAAGTTTTTAGGCCATTTTTAATTTTACATTTATGACAATTCCCCATTAAGTTCTTACCGGGCACAGCAGTGTCCAAAGAAATACAATTAGAAATAATTTATTGATTGCATTTGAAGCAGGAAGTTTAAATCCAATCATTAATTATGTTAACAAATAAATCAGACAACGCATTGACAATTTAGTGATATCCCCACAGTTGTGGTCTTGAAACAAAATCCTGAGTCCATTTAGTCCAGGGCTGTCCAAACTCGGTCCTGGAGGGCCGCTGTCCTGCAGAGTTTAGCTCCAGCTCGCCTCAACACACCTGACTGGAAGTTTCTAGTATGCCTCGTAAGAGCTTGATTAGCTGCTTCAGGTGTGTTTGATTAGGGTTGGAGCTAAACTCTAGCTAGTCTAAAACCAAGACAAATGCAGTCGAGACTAAGACAAGAACTTCAAAAAATGGTCTCAAGACCAAGACCGGTCTCAAGTACTACAACACTAGTCCACATTATTCAAAATGTGGATGTGGAGAGACATCAGACTCACTGGTCCAGAGGTAGCTGTATGAGCCCACCATGCCCCTGACCACGCTGCCGGATATTCTCCAGCCCAGGCGGGGGCACTGTGGGAAGGGCCACGTGACCTCCGAGGGCATCTCGCACTGATGAGATATCATAACAGAACAGACTTTAACATTTGAACGGGTTTGCATCTGTTAGGAACGTACTTATCTATAGGCAGTGATACAGGTCAGCTGCTGAGTATATAACTGCTCCAGATGAATCAGATATAGCATGTAATCATTCTGGGATAGACTTGTTAAGCATAAGCAAGAGCTTTATGTCCACATAAAAACTGTTAGGAGCAGCTTGGCAGCTGTTAACACAAGTTACACAACACTGAGAAATAGCGTGATGTGTGAAAACACAAAACACAGCGAAAAAACACGACATATAAAATATGGGGGTAGAATCGTTGCATAAATCTCTTTACATTTATTTGTGGATCATAATGTATTTATTTGGAATTATGCAACGATTCTACCCCCATATATAAAAGCTGCTGGACGCTTAAGAAGTCAAACAATTAGAAACTTACTCATTTTAAACTTGAAATTATTATGTAAACAGAGTAATTAATTGCATATGACTGAATTTACTAATGGAGGTAGTTAATTGTTCGCCACTTTTCTGTAACAACAACGTTAAATTGTAATGTGAATTTGATTCATTGTAAAAAGTATAATTTAAAAATATTTAACCCTCCCACCTTCCGTCCCGTCAGCCGACGCGCGCAGGACGGCAGCTGCACCGGAAGTACTATACCATCACGAGCGATCATGGGAGTTGTAGTTTTGTAGTCGTCATTAGTTTCCTCGACCTTGACGTTTTCGCTTTTATATAACACCACATAAATATTGAAACATAAAACAGTACTGATTAAATAATATTAGAAAGACGAAAAAGAGTGTGTCGTGACTGCGGAAGCACTTTTTTATTTTTTATTAATTAACCAGTGATATATCAAATGTAAATACAATACAACATAATATCAGGAAATATAACAAGGAGCATAGATAACAGCCAGGGGAAAGAAAACCCAATTATAACCTAAATAAAGTGATACAAAATAATAATAAAACAGATAACATAAAATCAAGTATGAATAAATAAGCAAATAAATGAATACAAAGTAATAATTTTACAGGGGAATCCTGAAAAAAGCACAACAAGTTAGTGTTTTCCTCGCCTTAGTGTTTTCCGATAATGAGAGCGTTTCAAAATATTGTTGCAACTTCTAACAAACACCTTAAAATGCGGCTTATTGTTGGAGAATTTACATTTGTGGATATGGTATTTGGCTAGAAGAAGTAATAGATTTATAAAATAAAACTCTTTCTCTGTATTTTTATCTGCATCTACAAAAACAAACAAAACATCTCTCCAAAACAAAGAAAATTGAGAGTACACCAAATCAATTACAAACTTGCAAAAACTATTCCAAAATCCTTTAGTATAATTACAATACCGAAATATATGTACAATTGTTTCATCTTGTATATTACAAAAGTTGCACATTGTGTCAATATCAGGTTTGAATTTTTTAAGGTAACTATTCACTAGATCTGTAGAATCTGTGGATTAATTTGAAAGATACTTCTCTGACTTTGTTCACAATAAGGTAGTTATGTGGCAAAAGCCAAACTTTTTTCCAGTTTGCAATATTTATCAAATCACTCCAATAAGCAATAACATACGGTTTGGAGACGACTCCTTTCTGAGAAAGAGCACGAATCAGTTGTTACTTGAATGTGGAGCGAGACAAGCTTTACCCACTGTTGTTTGGAATGGATCACAAAGAGGAACATAGAGTTCAAGACCTTTAAACAGTGTGATGACTCCGGAAGGAACAGCATCAAACACAAATGCACATTCTTTGGGTGAAGCAGGAAAGTTAAACTTCTGTAAAAACTCATAATATGACAGCAGAAGACCACTTTCATTAAAACGATGACGTACTAAAATTATTTTATTATTATACCAGTTCTGAAAAAATAAAGACTTGTTTTTATAGAGTATATTACGATTGCTCCATATATATATATATATATAAAAAAAAGAGTTTGGAGAGAAATTCTGTTTAGGATATACTTTATGAAATTTTACAGAATTTATATAGAATAAACCAAGCAGGAGTAAGAGTAGAGTTTTTATGGATACCTGCCCATGTAGGTGTAGAGGGAAATGAGGAGGTGGATAAGCTGGCCAAGTCAGCATTGAGAAAAGAAGAGATTGACAGAGAAATTCCTTTAAGTAAAACAGAAGTAAAAGGTATTATTAAAACAGCAGTTGGACATAGTGGTGTATTAGAGGTAAAAAAAAAAATTAATAACAAATTTATAACAAAGTTAAATAACAAATTGTCTATCATTTTACAAATGTTATTTTCCAAATGTAAAGCCAAAGCTGCATACGCCAATCTAGATAAACCTTCAGCTTTAGTAAGAAATAAAGAAATATTCCTTTGAAGTCACTGGTTACGTTTTTTACAGGGTTTTTCTACAATTGGAATAAAATTATCATTACAACGTGTAGACTCGTTTTTGGTTATAACAATTCCTAAATAAGACTGCGGAAGCACATGCTATTTATGTTACCATCACATTTTACGTCACACACGGAAGTGGGGGCATTATTAAAAGTTTGGCGCAAAGTAAAATGTTATTTGGTGTATTTACAATGTCGTGCTGTGCTGAAGGCTTTCAGAATCATAAATGCAGAAAACAAGGGCTTCATTTTACGAATTCGTCAGCGTCAGAGCTTGAGGCTACAAATGTTAGCTTACACATAATTACTTTACAATAACAAAATAACTGAAATGACTTATCCAACTGTATTGGTATTCACTGCGTTACGGGGACCAAATGTCCCCACAAGTATAGTAATACCAGTAAATTTTGACCTTGTGAGGACATTTTTTGGTCCCCACGAGGAAACAACTTATAAATGCAGTGTGTTTTGTGTGAGGGGTTGGTTTAGGGTAAGGGGATAGAAAATACAGTTTGTACCGTAGAAGAACTATTGTGCCTATGGAGAGTCCCCATAAAACATGGAAACTAGTGTGTGTGTGTGTGTGTGTGTGTGCGTGTGTATCTGTGTGTGTGTGTGAGTGTGTGTGTGAGTGTGAGTGTGTGTGTGTGTGTGTGTGTGAGTGTGAGTGTGAGTGTGTGTGTGTTTTAAAGAAGTTGTTTATATTCACCAAATATTATATATTTTAACATATTATTATTACAATGTAAATGTAATTTTTTATATACATTTTACACAGTGTCCGGAGATACAGGGTATTAGGTCTCCACCATTATTTATTTCACTGTTAATATTACAGAGCCTTTGTTTTTGATTCAGAACTCCAGGTATGTAAAGCTTGTTGCATTGTACCAAAAAATAAAAATAATAATAATAATAATAGTGAAATAAAGAGTCTGAATACTTACATTAGTGTAATGTTTCAGTTTTTCCTGTTTAATAAATTTGCATATCATACAGTTTACATAGAGATGCAAGTTTTAAAGGTGACCAGTTAAATAACATTTAAAAATCAATTATTTTATATACAGTATGATACAAGGATTGTGATTTGTACATATAGTAATTGGTCTACAATTACTATTATTATTATTATTAACAAAATTCGGGAAAGAAATACGGTTTTAATTTAAAACCAAGAATTTTTCAAACATACAGAAATTAAAAACATTATTCATTTTTATATATATATATATATATATATTTTTTTATTGCTACAGTTATTAAATTGCAAATAATAAGCATAAGATAACAGATAAGAGAGACATAATCGGTAAGAAAGTATCATACAAAAGTAACAGATGCGACAGAAACTTTCTTTGGATAAGGCACAGAATTATGTCACCTGTTCTAAATTAAATGGTAAGGAAAAGAGAAAACAATACAAATCAAAATGTTTAACTTTCAAAACTTTCTGCCTCTTACTGAAGACATGCAAAAATGACTCCAAAAAGGGCTAAAATGACCCCAAAAATGGCTGTGAAACAATGCTACATAGAAGAAAAAAGAGAGAGAGAGAGAAAAGTATTCAAATATCAGTCGTGTAGCATCCCTCATCAGTCGTAGCTGGGAAATCACCAGTCTGGAGCAATGTAGTTTATGCACTTTAGTGCAACCTCAAAACCTAGAAAACAAGCCTGCAAGCCGGACACACACACACACACACACACACACACAGAGAGTAACACTATTAAGAGCAGAACATTTCAAAACATATCAACACTCATTTCAGTATTCAGAATCTGTTCAATATCAAATGTAGAATGGAAAATGTATTAAAATATATATATATATATTTTTATTGTTGTACACTGGTGTGTCTGCATCATTCTGCAAGTACACAGCCAAAAATGTGGTTTGCCAGTGTTGACTAAAGGTTTGCAAAATGTGTTTGAATTGGATTACAAATCTTACAAATGTTCTGAGTGTATCTAAATGTAAATGTGTTTTTATATGCTGCTCTGTAGAGCTAAGATCTGCAAAAGGCCAGTCAAGAGACTGACAGGGGCCTCAAAGCAGCATGATTTACCTTAACTGCAGGAAGTTTGAGAATTTATCCAAATATGATATTAATAAAAGTCTGTTTTATGTTGCTACATGTCCATACGTTTGTGCTCAAAGAGCCTTGGTGATCAGATCTAACTCGTGCAGATTTTGATTCTACTAATAATTCTACTATGTATGATTTTTTTTTAAAAATCGAATTAATTACATTTTGTGACATGATGTGTCGATTATTCTAATTATTCTAATTTAATCATTCATCAATTTTGGCTGAGAAATTACCCTCCACAATATTAAAGTCATTATTGTGTTAAATGAGAAAAACATTGAATAGACATTACACAAAGCAGATTTAAAAAGAAATACTTTGATTGGGGGAAAACAGCACACTTGCTAATAAACTATAACCTATGCTAAACCTGAAATGACCTGAAAGCGACACACTTAATTATGACTTCAGACGTGGGAAGTAGGACATTTCTGAAAGCATGTGAAGGCAGCATATACAAATACTTTTATGTCATTAGACTTTGTTACCGTTTTTATCAACCGCTGTGACTAACGGAGATATATATATCTTAGAACTGAACTCCAATTAAAAAAGACATATCACTTTATCACAAGCTTCAAAGGTTGTTACTTACTACTCATACAGCTACCTGTACCTGTGCAATACCCTGTTCTTATATTTATATATTTATTCCTTAATTCTCTTGATTTATTAATATTTCACTCATTACTGTACATATCTAATACATTTGCACTATACCTATTTTGCACATTTAGTATATATAACTGTTTACATGTGCACTGTCTACTGCACACCTGTTTACATTGCACTGTTTATATTTTCTGTATCATTGTTTGCATTTTGTTAAATGTACTTCTATGTAAATTCTTGTATGTATGTGTGCACTTCAGTGTGATAGCAAAAAAAAATTTGTCGTACAGCTGTACAATGACAATAAAAAGCTATTCTATTCTATTCTATATTTAGTCAGAAATCCATAAAATCCTAAAGGCTCACAAAACCATTTACTACACCTCTACTAGAACTCTGTAATAAACGTTTTCATGACAATAGGCAAATGAAGTGCTGATATTGAAAAATGTATTGGTAGCATGAGTATGTTTTCTCACCGCATTAGCTGGAAATGCTCGTAACATGACTGCGCTCAAGCCTTTGTAGAGAGCATGGGCTCCTTCCTCCCGTAACAGTGTTTTTAACACATCTCTCAAACCCCGGTAACGCCCGTCTGTGGCTGCAGGACAGAGCACAGAGCATTGTCTGCTTTTTCTAATCACTAACTACTACAAGTACTACATGCTTTCGGTATTAAGTGCAACCCACTAAAATTGGCACGCTTGGTAATTATGAACAAAACATACTGTGAAAAAATGTTACAACCTTTAATTGAAGTAAAATTCTTTTTAAAAATGTGATAAACATTATATAGAAATGTTTTTTTCTCCAAAATTACTAGCACCTCTGTAAATTCTTATGAATAAAATCTAACTGACGTAAATTCCTCTTCATATATATATACTTCATAAAGTTCACTTGAGTCATTAAATCACTTAAGTGGCACTGGGTTTTACATATGAGGTGATATAAATGCCAAATTGCTATTCTCATCCTGCGGGAAAGACCCAAGAATACAATACAGTAATAATGAGTTACAAAGGGTTGTTGAGCCACACAAATAAGGAAATGGCTATACTGTAAGATAATGGCTGAAATGCTCATTTAAAAGTGATGTTAACAATTGATCAATGGCCGTGGCTTGTGGAAAGATAGTGACTGAAAGATGTTACTAAATATTAAAAAAAGAATAAAATAAAATTATAAACTCAAAATATGCATATAATACAGGCATTTTAATACATTTTTAATTATTTTGAAGATAAAATAATGAAGCAAATCAAACATACTAAAGCCTCTCATTTGTGTAAGAAGTTGTCTCACCTGATTAAAGTGTTACTTTACTTTATAAAAGCATACTTTGAGATCATGTTGATAACATGTTTATGCATTACTTTCAAGACATAAGTTTAACACGGCAAAAATAGACTACAATTAATTCATGTGCAATGTATCTGGTTGCCATGGCAACCTCAAGTCCTTTCTGTTTTTCGCTGTATTTGTCACGAATCCGGTCTATTAACTTCCGTTCACTCACCACCAGAGGCTCACGACATGGACTCTCACACTACACAGACTGTTACACTATACCCTGGACTACATTTCCCATCATCCATTGCACTGATTGCACACAGCTGTAACCAATAACACGCTCACCGGGAAGCTATTACACACACTATACAACATCCACCCAGATCCTGCTCTAGTCGCCGAGTATTGTTTGCGCATATCACTGTGTTAGCGATAGCATCTTTACGGAGCCTTTCCGTGTTTTCTAGTCCAGTCTAGCCTAGTCTTGTATCTTAGCCTGTTTATCTCATCTTGTCAGTCTGCCGCCTGCCCTGGAATTATCGCCTGTCTTGGATTAACCCCTTGTCTTGTCGTTTCGGACTCTGTTTGCCCCTCGTCTGGACTATTGTCTGTATGTTTGGATTATCCGTTTGCCTTGCCCCCTGGATTACGTTAGCCGTCGATTGACCCACGCTTGTTTACTGTACTGCTCTTGTTTTTCTGTACTGCTCTTGTGTCTTGCCCTCAATATACCTGTTTGCCAGTGTTCGACCCTGCCTGTGTATGACCATGTCTATGAATAAAGCTTTGCGTATGGATCTGCACGTTTCACGCTTCTGTCACTCCGTAACAGAAGTCATAGTAAAATCACTTGAATTTGATACAGAGAATTAATTTTTAGGTTTATAGAAAAATGAAAATGTGTTTAAAAGTGTGACTGACCAAATTGAGTAGCTAAGTTTGGCCACCCACCTAAACGATTTGTAAGGATTGCAGACATTAGTTTGCAGAGGGTTGCTATGATTAAGCCTTCGATGTCATCATACAACAAAAGCACTAGCAGTTTGCCGAACATAACTGGGACTTTCATTGGGACCATTGGTATTTATGGTGTGACCAAAACAAAGGGTTTTTTTAAGGAAAAAACTAAACAAGAGGTGGGATTTGCTGGCCAATAATTGTGGCAGATATATTTTAAAAATGTGTTTTGTAATTTTTTTCCCTTCAATTATTTTTCTTAAATAAAAAAAAAAAAAGAAAATGTGTATTTTGAATGAAAGACCAATAAGATAAACAGCAAAGACATTTTTCCAAAGACAATTTGTTCATATTTACCAAGAGTACCTATATTAGTGAAGGACACTGAAAGATACAAAAATAAAAGTTCAATTAAGGCTGCAATATGGAAGGTTAAACAAAATTCCATTATTGAGGAAGTACATGAAAATCGTCTCAGGTTACTTATGTAACCATGGTTCCCTGAGTAGGGAACGAGACACTGCGTCCTCTAGGGGTCGCTATGGGGAACGCCTCGTCGTGACCCGTGTCTGAAGCATACATTGAAAAAACACCAACTTGTTGGCCGGCGACAGCCATGACGTCACTAACGGTATACCCACGCCACCATGCTGAGAGGAGTGCTCGCCATGGTTATGGCGAGCCCCTTCCGTGCCTCAGCAGCGGCGGGTCCTGAATCGCGGGAAGCATATGGCTGCTCCTCTTTCCTCAAAAAGAGAGACAAACGAGAGCGGAGCTTTTCCCTTGTAACGGGTCACGACGAGGCGTTCCCCATAGCGACCCCTAGAGGACGCAGTTCGAAGTTCCTATGAAAGGGAACTATGTTCACAACCACATTCTTGCAAATTCTGTAAGGCTAGCATCTTTTATTCGTATGCGTTTATGCCATTCCCGTAAATATAGAAAAGAAGGTCTACGTATACAGTGAAATCGCCCATAGGAGGCGGGTTTATGTAGCAGTTTAGCCAATTGCTGTGAACACTTCAAGACATGACATAAAATTTAGCCAATCAGCATCCTCAAATCTTGTCCGAAATGGGCGATTTCTCTGTCGCCTGAAACGAGCCACTACTATAGTCTGGACTGGACTGTAGGGGCTGAATAAAGTAAACCAGTTTCTCGCTCGTAAAGTTTTGATGGATGACAACTGTAGTCAAGGTAAAGACGATTACAATTTCATACAGGATCGCACAACAGGCATGCACAAATCTGTTATTATTAATGTGAATCAAACCATAAATGTGCGCTCTCTGCACACTAATATCTTTTTGCACGAGCACATTTCAGTATGCTTGCATGTCTGATGAGTATTTTATATAGGTTTTATATATATTTTTTTTTTTGCGATGGTCAGTGGTGTTTATGTACATATGGGCCTCAGACATGAACACTGTTGAACTGTTTACTGATGACTTCAGCTGGAAAAATAACTGTCATTGTCTTCTTGCATTATTGACAATCTATTTTCCTGTTTAACACTGTAAAGCTGCTTTGACACAATCAGTATTGTGCTATACAAATAAAGGTGACTTGACTTGACTGATGATGTTGAGTCACCTTCAGATCGCCACATTCGGCAAATTCAGAAAGTTTTTATTTTTTGTGTTTTGCTGTGTTTAATAATTCTGAATGAATCTGTGTACTGTATGTATGCTTGTGGTTAAGGTGGCTGCTATAGTGGTCTGTTGGCATCCCCAGGTGGCCCTGTTTGGTACTGCAGCTTTACTTGAAGTTATTTATATTAAAAGCTCTAAACAAATGTATCATTTAATTTTTCATCACAGATTTTGTTGTTCCACTGTATACATAAATGATTAAAACTAAAAATTATGAATTATTAAAACTAAAAAGTATTTTTAATTTACCTCGAAAAAAATTTAGAGAGCCATCCTCAAACTTAATCCTGAACTTGGTAAAAACAATTATCTTTATTTAAAATATGTTTCAAGCTTTCAAAATGTTTTAAGTCGTAATACGTTTTCCTTCTGCTAACTTTTTTTCTTAAACTTGAACTGTTTAGCATTAAATAATATTGGGATGTTTGCTAAAATTGTTGGATGTGGCACAGCCCTAGACCTAGTAAATTTTCCACCAGCTGCCACTGTGTAGCACTGATAGTGCCTTGTAAATTAGTTTGCTGATGGTTAGTTAATATGATGCAGGTTTTTGCAGTGAAATACCACACACAAAAGAGAAGCAACTGTTTAGTGAATCTCCAGCATAACTAACTTACTTTTTATAGTTTTATTTGTGCCTCTAGGGTGCAATGTAGAGCCATTTTATGGCATATAAGTCATAAAACACAATGACACGTTCAGAAATGTCTGTGGTGTACCTGTCTGGTAGTTTGACTTTAGCACATCTGCAGGCAGAGCAATCAGCCAGTTTAACATGCCAGCAATCCCACCTGCGAGAAGAACTCTGGATGTGCTGAGATGATGAACACTTGGAAGAAATGAAATGAGCATTAGTTTTAAATCCTGATATTATTTATAGCTAGAATGACAAAGTTGTGACTCTCACCACTCTCCCTCCGGGGTCAGAAACTGTTTTAAGTATTCATAAGTTAGAAAGTATACACCATTTGAAGGCACATCTGAAAGAAAAAGAAAAAAAAAGATGCATCCATAAAGGCCACCTATTAATTTTGGTTTACAGGAAATATATCATGTCACACACAATATCACCTACACTGTAAAAAATTGTGCCGTTAAATAACAGTTATTTACTGGCAGCAGGGTTGCCAGCAAGGTACTGTTAATTTACAGCTCTCAACCGTTAATTTACAACTCTTAATTTTTACAGTGTTTTACCGTAATTCTACCATGGAAATTAACTCCGCTCCCATTGCTTCAAACAGTTAGAGTTTAAAAACTAGCATTCATACGATGTTAGTACTGTGAGCTTATCTCATTTGAGCCCACTGAGAAGGAATATTTCTTAGTATAAAACTGCAAACGCTGACTAAAAACATGACTTTAACTCAAATCGTTGCAGTTCACTGTTAGCTGTAGCACACATGTGTGAGATAAAGTAAAAAAGACATAATTACTGTATCAGCAACTCCACAGTGACTGCCTTTAAATAAAGCAGCAGAACATCAGTGGTTGTGGCTCATCATTGACTGAAGCACAGGCTCTACTCTCCAGCACAATGGTGACCCACAAAACTACATTAAACTAACAGATCTCTCTTGTGCA